CAGCTGCAGCCCGAGGGCCCCTGCGGCCACCGCCCAGAGCATCTTGCTGTAGCATCTTGTTCTCAAAGGCGTCCTCCACACAGCTGAAGACCCCACCGAGCTCGGGCCGGGACCGGGGGCTGCCTGCGCCCAGCGTCCCCAGGCACACGGGCAGAGGCTCCTCGGACTCCTGTGGCAGGTGTGCGGCCATGGTGGGAACAGGCGAGAGGCGGTGGGTCCCTAAGTCTCCTGCGGCGGGATCTGGGCGCTGGACCGGTTTGCCTGGGGCCTTGCGCTCTCTCCGCCCCTGCCTCGCAGCACACCGGTCAGCCTCGCGGGCAAAGCGCGGAGCTGGCGCTGTCCACGCAGCGAGTGCTGAATGCACCGGTCCGTCCTGGCAAAGCACAGCTGCTCGCCCGGGGCGCGCGCGTCCTGACCTCTCGCTCAATCCACTGGAAGGGCGAGCGAGGCGCACGCACAGGAGAAACCAGTCTATCCAGAGGCTCTGACTGGAAATGAGTCAGGGGTGCAGGGACACGCTCACGTGAGCTGCTCCTGGCCACCCGTAAAGCCGAGTTCAAGGTATTGGGTGAGACGAGGCAGGGGGACTCAGCTCGCCCAGGGTCACAGGGTGATGCTGTCACTTGTGGAGCCCTGCAGATTGATTTTTAAGGAAAAGATGGCCCAGCCTTTTCACTGTTACCACAGCCCACATTCCGAAGCCTAAGTTTGGGCAGTGAGAGGCACTGCAGAATGCGGGAGTCCCCGAGTGCCCTGCCTGGCGTGAGCATGTCCGCAGTTAAACCAGGCACCCTCCCGCCCCTCCTCCCTCCGGTTTCCACTCCCCAAAGCGATCGGTGAACCGCCCTTTACTCACCTGTGTGGGATGGTCCCCAACGCTAGTCTGCGCCAAGTGTTCTCATTCATTCGCAGAAATTCTTCCTCTTGTCTAAACTATTTGAGTTCTGTCTTCTGGTTCTCATCTGATGAATGGCTGCGGGAGGAGGCCTCCCTGATGGCTGACCTACGCAGGTTCTCCTGGGTGCCCCTGACTGCAGAGCCTGTGGTCCAGGCGATTCTCCACAATTTACGATGAGGCTGCAGGTGAGATGCCCGTTGCCCTCCCCCATGGGCACAAGGCCCAGGTCCCCTTCCTGGTGTGGAAGGGGCGCTGCCATTCAGAGTGTGACAGAAGTGGCTAACATAGCCAGACTTTAATGCCTCATGAGGAGGAAAACATTGATTTTCTAAGATTTATAACAATTTTTTATTAAAACTGCACAATAAGTTACAAATGAGTAAAAATTCTGATATATATCATAGGAATCACAATACAAAAATATGTGTAAAATTTTGTCGTTGACCACCATTCAAACCTATTTCAGGCCTGTGAAGACTGTTCAGCACTGGACAGAATACCCCATGTTTAGAGTGTGGTTATTGAGTGTTTTCAGGGAATGCGAATACCAGCTGGCACATCACTGTGAGGAAACAAGTCCCAACTCGCTTTTGCATAAATTTACAATAAAGCTTTTAGAAAATATACAGTAAACAAATATATGATTTGATACATATATGTACAACCTGATTTCCTGAGCCTTAATGTAAGTCTGTCGCTGTGTTAAAACACACAGCCCACCTTAAGGTTTCAATGACGGGGGGACGGTAATGCAGGTCAACGTGATGACACCTGACACCCACCCCCGGCACACCCTCCTTCCTGACTCCCAGGGCTGCTGTTCACAAGCCGGGTAAGGCACGCGGGATGTCCTGAAGGCTGGGGTTCACGCGGGCAGAGCACTTGAAACAAGAGCAGCAGTCCCTCGGCGGCTGGCACTCCAGGTCACGGTGACAAGGTGCACACACACCCGTGTCATCAAGTAGGCTGCGAGGCACGTGGACACTTAGACAGAGGAGACACTGCGCTTCTGTGGGGTCATGACACGGGGTGGCGCGTTGACAGGCGTGGCGTGTTGATAATTGTTACACTGTCCACACATCCGGGTCTCGGGTGCACAGCAAGGCTCCTGGCAACATTTCCGGGTCCCTCCTCTCGCTCCATGAGGAGAGAGGCACTTACACACAGAAACCCGTTTGGACAGCCCACCAGTTCTGAATAAAAGGTATACTCTAAGATTTAGAAAATGCACCTTATTTAAAATACTTGAATTCTTCAGATGCTCACTGGTCCAGCAAGAATCACTGACAAATGCTCATATTTGCCTGTTTCTTTTTTTGTTTGTTTTTTGTCAAAAATCCCACTCCAGCACTGTTGAATTTTGTAATCAGATGAAGAAAAGGTGCCTATGACACAATAACGTCTAAAGAAACAATGGGTGTGGCAATTAAGCACATGTTTTCAGGAACACGACAGGGAGGCAAATGCAGTGCGCTGCTTGCGATATTATTTAAAACATTCGTTGAGCCACTTTCCCTCTCCTATGTACGCACTTTTCACATAGAAACGACTCCATAGGCATCGGTGAGTATTCCCATGCCTCTCTGCCCTGCGAAGTGTGTCCTTTTTAAAATTACAAGCTGTGATTAAGAGTGTCCGGGGTGGGTGGGAGGCCGGCTGAAGTTCTCCAGACACGTGTACAACGTGCACACCCACGAGGAGCCAGGGAAGCGGGGATGTGGGTCTGTTTCCAACACGTGTCTTTAGACCCCGAATGGCCGCCTGTGCGGCTGCTGCTTCTGTGCAGGTGCACATGGCGGGGGCCCCACCAGAGGTGGATATGGCTGGCGGACCACTTGTGGGGGCCACACCACACGGTCCCCTGCGCTCTGACCCGGAGCTCGCCCATGGCTCCGCGGCGGCTTTCGCTAACGCAGGACTCGTGGGTGCCACTTGCTTTTGAGAACAGTGAATGTGCCAAGGGGGCGCACCCACTGGAAGGAAATAAGACAACGCATGTGACCGAGACTCTGGGCCTGAGGTGCAAACCCGGCCTGAGGCTCAGGGGAGAAGCGGTGAACCGGCCCCCGTCTGTCCGAGTGCATCGGGGGGACAGGCTTGGTGCCAACACAAAGCCCAGGCAAGTCAGCAGAAACCCTGCGGCCACCGAGGAGAAGCACGTCTGTCTGACCCCGTCAGCGTCTCCCGACTTCGACCGAGGGCGCCAAGCTGGCCCGGCTGCCACTGTCACTGGCGGCAGAGTTGACTCTTTCTTCCAACACAAACGTAAAATGAACCTGACAGTTGCAGACAATGCAGTCACCCCTCCCTCGAGCCTCTCGGTGATGCGTGTATTTTCTGTTACACGACATTGTGCGTTACGGCTCACTCACTGCCAGCGTGTTGACTTGCAAGTGCCCCAAAGAGCCAAAATGCTGTGCGTGGTCTTCTGGTTGAGCATGAGTGTGTGCACAAACACGGAGTCACACACACGCACGCACAGCTGCACACATGTGCATAGTCACACCGAGTCGCACACACATACACATGCAGTCACACACATGCACATGCGCAGTTCTGAGTCACACACACGCACAGTCTCATGCACGCACACACAGGTGCACACACACACATACACCCTTTGCAACGTCAGCACTGACAGCAACAACCTCAGACCAGCAAGGCGTGGGGCCCACAGAAGGCGAGCTGGGTGTCGGCTGGGAGGGTCCCCGGGCTGTGGCCCCGGATGCTTGGCAGGAACGAAAATCACACTGAGGCTGGCTCCGCCACCGTGCCGTCTCCTCTGAAAGAGAGCGCAGACAGACGCCGCATTGCAGTGAGACTTCGAGGCCCTCGCGCGGCGACAGGCCCGGTGCGGAAAGTCTGGAGAAGCACCATGGCGGGGGGGGGGCGG